CCTCACTGCCTGGGGGAAGTGGTGAGGGTGGCCAAAAAAGGGTAGAGGGCAATTTCAGACGTCTAAAACTTTTTGAAACTTTGCTGTTATTGCCCTAATTCTGCTTAATGGCTTTTAATTGCTAATTCATTACATGATGTGTGCAGATCAACAATAATCTGTCTCTTTATTGTTGTTTTTTATTTGTCTTTCTAAGTTTCAGAAACTGAGAGCAATTTAAAAAAACTGAAATACTGATGATGATTATTTGTTTGGATTTATTTTTAAACAGTCTAGGTGTTAATAATTTGCCATCTACATTTTTAAGAGAAAATGCTATTATTTATAATCAAAGTTATTATATGTTGTCTTTGCTTCTCTTAGCTCTACTCATCTTACCTTTACACATCTTTCTCTTCTCATTCTTCTCCATTTCTCTCTTCCTCACTCTTGTAGATGTACGTGTTTGACCGTGAAAACTTCCAGGGCCGTATGATTGAAATCAGTAATGAGTGTATGAACGTGTGTGAGATGGGCATGGACAAAGTGCGCTCCCTTCGTGTTGAATGTGGCCCGTGAGTAATAAACAGTTACAGGCCGTTATTTCAGACATGACAGTAACAGTTATAGTGAGATCCTCAAGTCAAGTTACTCACCCTGACACTTACTCCTCCCCCCACTCCTTTTCTCTTCTTCTTTCTCTCTTTCTTTCTACTCTGCTCTGTCTGTAGTTTTGTTGGCTTTGAGCAGATGAACTTCTGTGGTGAGATGTATATCCTGGAGAAAGGCGAGTATCCTCGCTGGGACTGCTGGAGCAACTGCCAGAGGAACGACTATCTGCTCTCTTTCAGACCTGTCCGCATGGTATAAATTCTTCTCTCCATGAATCCTAAAACTAACTCTATTTTTGAAGCGATAGTTTTATGTTTATTCACCATTATGCTATGGTCTCATTTGTTAACCCACATGTTAACTGACATGATATTATGACATATTACTGGCATTTATGTGAACTTCATTCATGTGGGTGGTGATGGTGGGACTTCCTGCATGCAGATTTCTATAAAAGCAAGTAAATATAATATGTGTAATATTAGCGATAACTATCCATATTTGATAAATATAACCTTTCAGAGCTTTATTATGGATATGTTAATATCAATGTCCTTTTACCTTTATATCATGCTTACAGGAAGCATGTTAATTTCCTTTCACAGTTTCTTAACGTTTTCATCTTACTGACTAATTACATCAAGATATTGTTCTAAAAATGCCTGTTCTAAAACCCAATGCACTGTGGGACGCTATTCTCTATGTTGAAGGCGCCTCATTAATGTCAACAATGCCACTACAAAATAGCAAGTGCAGAATTGAAGGGCAGGGCTGAGGGTGATACTGACATTTCAGGATGAAACTGACACCTTCGTGTGTATTTACTAGGACTGTCCTATTAATCATAGTCAGTGCCCCAGGCAGAGGTCAAAATACAGGGTGATAAAAACAGCACAGGGTCATCAAATAATAATAAAAAAAATCTGACAAACTATTCAGACTGCAATGGAGGAGATGAAGCTCCCTGTTCTGAAGTCTTCATATAGAGCACATATCAGATATTAAACTGAAAAAGAACAGACACTATACTTTGCCAAATGTCAGAGAAGCGATGGTTCCTATTGGTTTTTATTCCTAATGGGTTTTTTTTAGGTTTCCACATAAAAACAGAGTGTTTCCCTGGAATTTTGGGATTATCCAAATAATCCCTTTTTTAAGAGTATAGCAAGATAACTGAGTAAACAACAGATTTAAATAATCAGAGAAGGAACAAGTCAACAAACAGAGTTAACAAGAATCAAAACGGTTTCATGTTTCACAATTCATACGAAAAGTTATGAAGATTAAGCTTAGGGTTGCGGGTGAAGTTAGCGTTCATACATTTTTAAAAAAATAATTTTATTTGTATAACATTAAATTAGATCCAACTACATCACCCTCTCTTATTTGAATCTGTGTATTTCTTTAATGAGAAAAGGACAGGAAGCAGTGACCATATAAGGAAAGTGGCAGATTTGATGGGTTAGTGTGGACAGATTCAGAGTAGATGTGATGTCAGGGTAAATCTGCTTGGAAAGCGTAGAAATAGAAAAAAACTTTTGTTTGCCACAGGACCCGGAGAAGCACAAGATCTGTCTGTATGAGATTGGCGACTATAAGGGGCGAAAGATGGAGATAATCAATGACGATGTGCCCAGTCTGTACTCCTACGGCTTCACTGACCGAGTTGGCAGCATCATGGTCAGCTGTGGCACGTAAGTACTGGGCTACTTGCTTACGTGTGTGTTACCAGGAGCCAAGTTTAAAATTAGGATTTCAGAAAAATCAGATGATTTAGTCTTGAGTTCTGTGAGAGATTTCTAAAACTTTTTCGAAATGTTGGTGGTGAGATATACACATTAAATGATCCAACCTGCTCACTACACTTTACCTTTAAACTGAGTCACAAATGCAGAGTTTTCCATTTTCATGTCCAATATGCTTTAAAAATCCATTTGTGAAAATGCACAAGCATGGTAAAGCCCAGCTCAGAAGGGGTCAGTCTTGTCTGAACCTTGATTAAGAATCACTGCACAGTCTCTATTCATTACTGTCTCTCCTACATGTTCTACCTTTGCACCCACCGGCACACTTCCTCACGCCCACAGATCTCCTATTCCTTCCTGTCTTTCATCGAATCTCCTCTCCTCTGCTTTCCTCCCTCAGCTGGGTGGGCTACCAATACCCGGGCTACCGTGGCAGTCAATACCTGCTGGAGAAGGGTGACTACAAGCACTTTAATGAGTATGGTGCTCGCTTCCCCCAGATGCAGTCCGTGAGGCGAGTGCGTGACATGCAGTGGCACCCAGATGGCTCCTACACCATGGCCAGCAAGTGAGGGTTTGAGAGGATGGGAAAGAGAGGGAGAGGTGGGGAGAGAAAGAGGGGGTGTGGAGCTGAGGGGAGAGGGGGAGGAGCAAGGGACAAGAAGGAGAGAAGGATCATGCCATCCATATAAGGGAAAGAGGAAGAGAGTAATGGGTTGTGAGTCTATGTAACAGTATAAATCACGGCTACTGACCATAGATAGTGATAGAGTGTTTGTTAAGCGTAGGATGGCACACTCTTTTTCTCTCTCCTATCTCATATCTCATACTTTTCTTCTCCTCTCTTTTCCTGATTTCTCTTCCTCATCCTCAAATCAACTCTATTCTCCTGAGGAAAATCAAGCAAACCACTTCACACTCTTTTCTCCAACTGGGGATGGGATCAGGGGAGATGATTGACATGGATGGGTATGAGTAGGGTGACAAAGAGTGAGGTTTGGACCATATAAAAACCCCTCATCTTTATGAAATAAAAAGGAAATATGTGGCATCACTCTGTTCTGTGTTATTCATAGCTTCAGCTGTTCTAATACTTTTATAGGAGCTATCTTTCTGACATAAACTAAAACTGAGTATGAAAAGAAACTGGTGTTAGATTAGCTGAATGCCTCTAGTCATTACCAGTGTATCTAAACAAACACAGGCCTTCATCTTAGCGGAGCAGTTTATAAATTTTAATGTCGTCTGCTGCCTGTGAGGCAAATTTGAAATGAAAAATTAAAACATTGACAAGCTTCCTCCCTTTACCCAAACCTACATCACTTCCTCTGATGATATACATATGCCTTTTAGTTAAGCTAACCTCTGTTCTGGCCAGGGGCGGGCTAATTTCTGTGCCACTAAAACCATTTCAAGGCATTACTGTGAATAACAAAATTTTCACAGTGTCTTTAAAATTATATGATTATTCAGGTCTAGAAACTCTTAAATATTGCATGCTCCACGTTATATTGTTTAAATTCACTGAAAACCTATTTTCAAGACCATAACATTTGCTCTACATTGGACAATGAATTACTTGAAAAAAGGTGCCTAAACTTTTACTCTGATGAAGAAATCCAGATTCTATGAATATGAAAACACCCCAAACATTTATTCCCCACCCCCTCACAGGTAAACTAGTGTTGCATTGCTTGTAACATAACAATAACATTTTCCCATCATGTGTTCAATATTTTTAGCCCATGAAGCAATTGCTGCAGTGACAATTTAATCAAAACTTTAATCAAAACAAAACTTTTTTTTTAATTAAGATTATGGTGACTTCTGTTAGATATTAAAATACCTGTTATACATTCACTGAACAACGTGAAAATATTTCATTTAATCTGATAAACCAGGATCATGCTCATCCTTGTCATGGGAGGTGGAAATAGGCAAAGCACAGAACTGCCACACAGTGTGACTTATGATGGGTATCCTAACTATTCAGGCCTTTACGCTTGCCATGAAGGCCTGTTTGTATCCACCTGGTCAACAGGGTTCTGGTGAAGCTGGCAGGCTAATCACCCACTCAGTGGATACAACATGATTACACAAACATCCGCATCAATACGGAATCAAAGACTCAGGGTGACAAAGTCATATGAAGGTCGTACATGGATGAACTCTGCCATGCATGAGGCAAAAGTGCTTAAGAGAGAGTATCATGAAGTGATGAGATGCTTTTAAACACTCAGGAGGACTCAGCTCATACAGAAAGACATCTTAAAGCTCATTAAAACATATAATTCTCAAAGTGGGGTCTGGGAACACCCAGGGGCTCCGTGATTTTCTCATTTTGTTACAGTGGTGGAAATCACAACCCACCATTATGCCTATAAATACTGTCACCTGAAATCTAGTAATAATTTTAGTAAAAATATATTCCATTTCAGAAACTGTCTCCAATAAATAGCCAAATATTACTGGACACATTTAAACGCTGTCTTCTTTTGGCTGCGCCCATTAGGGGTCCCCACAGCAGATCACCGGTCCACATATTTGATTTGGCACAGTGTTTACGCCGGATGCCCTTCCTGACGCAACCCTCCCTAATTTTATCCAGGTTTAGGACCAGCACTGGGAGTGCCCCGCTGTGTGCAACCCCAGGGCTGGGGTTGGTTCCCTGGCCAGGGATCAAACCCAGGCCGCAGTGGTGAGAGTGCCAATGCCTAACCACTAGCCCTCCAGGGACCCATACTGTACACATTTAAATAACATGCTTAATTTTTTAAATAGTTTGTGTGCAAAATAATTCTGTACTGAGGTGGTCCATGAATTTTTTTACACTTAAAGGTTTCTATTTCTCAATAAACACATAAAGAAGTCATTTAAACTGCAGCGACACTAAACAGAATAAAGCATTTACTTAAGATGGATGAAAGAACATGGTAGCAACCCGCCCTGTCCAATATGCTCCTGTGCTAATGAACATGGCTTTTCTTTGTCCAGCTAGCTACATGTCCATTGCATGAACGCCTGCACCCATGAACTTTTTGTTGGGTCCCATGGAATTTCAGTCACAATGCACGTCTCTAGTATTGTCAGTACAGGTTTCCCAACCAAGACATTTGCCCATGAACATGAGCATGCAAGCTCTAATTACAAATATGTTATGAGTTTCCTGTTTCCTTCCTGTTAGCCCTTTATCATTTCATCAAGGTGTAGGAATGGCTGGTGTCACTGGCCAACAGTCCATAGTTCTTTATTTGTCTAAATACAAACTATACAACATCATATTTGTCATGGATTAGGTTATAGACACTGACTTATCTCTGGAAGATCCCAAAACAGACCAGGCTAGCTAACTAGTTATCATTAGCACTGCAAACCAGTGTTGCCAAGTATGTGTGGGTTCTCCATGAAACTCGGCTACTGTTGACCTGCTGCCAGGGGTAGATTTTTTTTTTATTTGTGGGTGGGTGGTTGGACTTTTGCTAATATTAGATTTATTATATCTGCAAGAATGCACTAGCAAGTATGCAGTGTGGTCTGTTGTTATATGTCCCATAAATATATAACTTTAGCTATGTATGTTATGAAGGTATTTAGTGATTGGGTCTATTTATTGTCATAACTATTGTTTATTTACGACAATATCTAATAATAATATGACATCACTCTAGGACCTTAGAATGAGCTATATAGGATAGATGCGTGTTTTAATACTGCTTGTCCTTTAGGTTTGTTCTCTTGTTTGTTTGGATGATTTTGAATTGGGCTGCTTTTTTTATGAAGACTTGCAGCTGGTTGCACCAGTAGAACGTAAGCTCCATTGTAGCATAGTTTGAATGTAAATCGTGACTATATTTGAGATTATGGACCTCTTAAAAGTAACAGTTGCACCAAGTAGCATGGTTTTAATTTATTAGCATAAATTAGCATCTGCCATGTTGTTCAAAGTGCACTGTGTGCAGAGTAAAAAGTACGTTTACCATCTTTGTGGGAAGTATTTTTGTGGTCTATGATCACCAGATATCTCACTCTTATACTTTTTTGGCACGTATAAATGTGTGGGATCATAAGATAAATGACAGCTAGGTTGTTTTTATATCAGACAGTGCAGCAAACGCTTTTGTTAGCTATTGCAAAATAGGACATATTGAGCTTATTGCTAAGGTACATCGCAAAATATTTAAAACCATTTTAGTGTTAATTTCCAAAATTATGTTCAACTTGTGCAACTGGCTGCTGGCAACCTTACTGCCAGGTTTAGCTAGTTGATGATGTACAACTATCATGATGTACAATACTTTGTAATTATAAGTTTGCATGTGGGGAACAGGACTACCAGAACATACACAATTTGGTAAATATACTTTTAATACACTTGTTGCAAGCTTGTCGTGTGGAGCTGTCATTGGACTGACATGACATTATTTTATAACTGACTACTGTGTGTGTGGATTTTGTTAGAGTAAGCTAGTTTCTCTGACGTTTGAAAACTCACAGTCTTACAAATAGTAGCAGTTAGAGGTCATATAGACTGGTGAATACACTGTATATATAACAATGAAATATCCATGAATAATAATTCACGCATTTAGAGACATCACACAAATACACTCATATTTATGACTCATATGATTCAAATGCTTTCATTATGTGCTTTGCTGTGTGCATTGCTCCTTGTGTGTGTGTGTGTGTGTGTGTGTGTGTGTGTGTGTGTGTCTTGGCATGTTTTTATATCTTGGTGGAGACCAAATAGCTGATTTAGCTGTAGGCCTAGCATTAGTTAGCTTCATTAATAATCATGTCAAAGGAAGGTCCTCACAAGGATTGTAAGACAAACATGTGTATGTGTGTGCATTACACAACAGCTTCAAGCCTTTCTCAGTCACTCAGTAGAAACATATCTCATCTCAATATACCATCTTATTGTCATCCTTCCCACACCAGGTCATTGCTTCTAGGCACGCACACATACACACACACGTCTATATCTCAGGTTTGATGTCAGGTTTGACGTCAGATTCCAGTTTGAAGTCAGATTCCCATTACCTTGTTAGAGGCTGCTGTGCTCCAGACACACACTCCAGCTGTGCTTGTAGGGGAATATCAGTAGGCAGACATGGGGTAGAAGCTTGAGTGTGTGATCTGTCTCCTTCTTCTTATATTTACTCAATTCGTGGGCTCTGAGTATTAACAAGGGGGAAATAGATTTGATTTCAGAGGAATTGGGGGATGGATGAAGGAGAGAAATTTATCTGTAGGCTCGGCAGGAAATCAATATGAGGTAATTGAATGTTCTTGCAGTGGCGTACTGCTTCCACTAGAGGAAGTGAAGAGCTGGGGTTTTTTGCACAAATATGGGCACAAATAAAACCTCATCATCCATTATTCAATTACCTCACACTGAGTTCCTGAAGCGCATAACTTCAAAGCAGCTGTAAAGTAAGCAAGCACAGAAAGCAGGCTCTCAGGAACAAAAGGTAGTAAACTGGGATTTATGGGTCCAAACGCTACAGTCGCTGTTGTGGTGGCACCCTCAGGGGTCTGTCTTTTGTACATTAGAGAAACATAATTGCAAAGGAACATCATTAAGATACATAACTGTACATTCAAAACAACATTTGTGAAGAATGAGATGCAAACCGCACGGTATCTTTATTTCTGACAGTGTGTGCATCTACTGTACTGTAAGTCTTTTATAGCAAATCCCATTGCAAGATGTAGAAATATGTCTTTTGCTCCTTTGTATCTGTCTGAGGCACACACACACACACACAAACTCACAGAGTGTGTCTTATAGACCTCTCTTTGCGTCATCGTCGCGTTGCAAGTTAGCTGGGGGTGATGCACTTCTTTTTCTGGAACCCTACAAAACGTCTTTCAGTGGAGTGTGATGTAACCTATTTATCTCCCCTAAACAAACTAGTGGGAGTGAACAGGGAGGAGAGAGAGGGAGAGCGTCAGAAAGAGAGTGAAAAGAAGAGAGAGAGAGAGCAAATGAGTAGTCTTTGCACATACGTGTGCTGGCTGTCAGTTTTCAGGAACAGGGGTGCAAGTGTTTGCTTTTCCTCTGGTTTCATCACTCAGATATATACACCGAGAAGCACTGAACTCACTTCATTCACACCTGTTTACACCCCCCTCTTTTCTTTGTCCATATCTTTGTAATAACTTGTCCCTTACTGACAACAAGTTCTGTTTTTTTTCTACACTCTCTCTCTCCTTTCTCCCACTCTAGCTCACACTCTCCTCCCTCTATTCTTTCTTCTATCTCTTGGTGTCTGTTGGTGTCAGTGTTGCGTTTGTATCTGCGTCATCTGTGAGCCCGTGTCTCAGTCACTGGACTGGGTTAAAAATAAAGAGCAAGCAACTGTGTGTGTGTGTGTGTGTGTGTGTGTGTGCAGAAATCATGTGTATGGATGTATATAGCTAAATTTCAGCCCAGTCTAACACTATGTGTGTACATTTAACACAATTTATTGTGAAGTATCTGCTCCACTGTCTCTGTTAGTGGGTTTGCAACACTAGAGAAAGCATGTAATACATTTTAGACTTAGAATATTGCTTAACAGATCATAAGAATGAGACAGATCATGGGTAGGAGGCAGTAAATGTGCACATAACAGAGAGAAAAAAACAGTCCAGATGCTTTTCTTTTGGTAAATTTTCAGGAAATAAAATGTACTAATCTAATAACGACTTGTCATTATGGTCTTTGGTAAGTTTAGTTAGACCTAGTGGATGTAGTGCATCTTTAAAATGCATTTAAGGGACAAAACTGAACTTCAGCATTGTACCTTTAATGGTACATTTACATAAATACATCCAAACCAAGTATGTTTTCAGATATGTTTTCTGACAGTGACAAGAATCCTGAGGATGAGAATCTATAGATTTTGCTGAACAAAAACACCCAGGATGAAAGGAGAGCTCTCATGCTTTAGGTATGAATATATCCTCAGCTCAGAATTCTGCATGACATAGAGCAACACACATATAAATATCACACACTGTGCACTCTAGCCACCTACCCACACACCGGGTGTACAGAGGATATGCTTTCTTTATGACTACAGCACACACACACACACACACACACACACACACACACACACCACACACACACACACACACAGAGGAAATTGGGAGTGGACATCAGAAGAAGGTGAAAGGTCATGAGTTTCAACAATATGTGAAGTTCCACCGTTGATGGGAGAAAAAAAAATAACTGGAAAGCTGAGAAGAGAAAGAAAGGCATGTTCAACTAAAATATGTTCAATGTGAGAACAAGAGAGAAAAGGCAAGAACATGAGTGTGAGGGATGGGAAAGAAAAACAGTGCAAGAGAAAGAGGTGCAGGGAATGAAGAATGAGACACAGACATAATTGTGCAGAGTCCTCTGGGATAGGAGAGGCAGTGCAAGAGCGTACATGACGTCAAATATTGCCAACCAGTGTCGTATCATCTTACGGTGACAAAGGAATTCAAGGAAGAAAGGATCAGAGGGAGAAAAACAACTGGCCAGGGCTACTTATTTAGTAGATGTGGATCAGTATTGCAGAAGAACTACAAAGGAAAATAAAACTATTGTTATAAATCTAAAACAGGAATCAAATACAAAAGGTAAATTAGGTCATAAACTTTAGATTAGCCTTTGTTAATAGTGCAGTAGTGAGATTTAAAGGAACGATTTGGTGAAAAATAAAACGCACACTTTACAATTACCTCAATGTTCTTTTATT